GAGTATAAAAGGGATGAATCAAGTGGTAAAAAAGTGAATACACACATTGTTCACTTACATACACTTTCAGGATTATGACAAAATTTTTTAAAGGGGGAGATATTTGTTTGGAGAATTGAAAGAGGTACATCTGTAGTTAGAACTGGGACATTTTAAGCAGAACAGCAAGATGATACAATGAAATGATATAGACCATGACACAAAATCCTTCAATTGAAACAACAAGCTTCATTAGACATAAACACCAAGATTCCACGCTTCCATGAGTAGATGTATATCATTAAAACAAATATGTATTAATTCAATGTATAGCTAAGTATTATACTTTATCACATTGAAAGTCATCTCTGACCCTAAGGCCAAATAAAGTAAATCAATTCATGAAATTTTGTCTTTCTGTGTAGGCTACACTTGGAATATATCTTTGACAAGCAATTTTTATCTTCCCACTGTTTACAAGGACATATGGTAGGTTCTGTGGACACAGAGCTGAACAGGGGTCAGGATCCTACTGAGGAAAATAAAATGCTATGACTAGCTGTATAAAAACTACTATGTTAAAGTTTAAATCATCAGGAAGAACAGTTAAGATTGTGACAGAGAAAGGAATGATAGACTCAAATGTCAAAAACTGTGGTCTCAAGTATTCATCTACGATAAAATTAAATTAATGCCCTTATAGTTGCCACATGTAGTGTCTTTTATAAAACTAATAAAACTTACACTATGTGACACAAATAGGAATCTGAAGTTTGTTTCTGATTCTAGTTTGGGAATAACTTTGGGAAAGTACAGAAATGACAGAAGGAAAAATTTGTTGGATCTCAGAGAATAGAAAGCTTTTTAAAGAGAAAACACAAATTGTACAAAGCAGCTAAGATCAAAAGAATTGAAACTCCAGAAAATAAGTAGAAATAGCAACTTCTACTTCCACAATTTGATAACAAATCACAATTTCTGGGTCTGAGGCTTAAAATTCTGAAATCACAGGCACTTCTTAAAAAATGACGCTTTATTTTGGGTGCAAAGAAATGAGGTAGGGAAGAGAAGGAAGGAAGCTAATAAAGAGTGCGTTATCAAGCAGGTCACCACTCAAAAAAAAAATGACCCTATATAGTTTCCCTCAGAAGAATCTTCTCAGAGCCCTCTTTATGTCTTTATTCCTCAGGCTGTAGATGAAGGGGTTCAGCATGGGAGTGACCACCGTGTACATCACCGAGGCTGTTGCACTGGAGTGTGAGTTGTGGGTAGCAGCAGAACTGAGGTACACCCCTAGGCATGTGCAATAAAACAAGGAGGCAACTGAGAGGTGAGATGCACAGGTGCAAAATGCTTTATACTTCCCTTGAGCTGAGGAGATTGCACGTATGGAGGAAACTATCTTAGAGTAAGAGTAAAGGATCCCAGCAAAGCTTCCACCACCTAGCACTACAGCTGCAAAATATATCACCATGTGAGTAATAAAGGTTTTAGAACAGGTGAGGTGTATTATCTGATCAAGTTCACAGAAAAAGTGGGGGATTTCCGAGTGTCTACAGAAGGACAGTGACAACACCATTAAGCTTTCTAACAAGGAATGCAGGATATGTGTGATCCAGGACGCCAGAACCAGGAGTCCACAGAGCCTGGGATTCATGATGACCGTGTAGTGCAGGGGGTGACAGATGGCCACAAACCGGTCATAGGCCATCACGGTCAGGAGGAAGTTGTCCAATCCTACAAAGAGTAAGAAAAGGTACATCTGGGTGATGCAGCCTGCATAGGTTATGACTTTGTTCTGTGTCTGGATATTCACCAACATCTTTGGGACAGTGTTCGAGACCAAGCAGATGTCTACAAAGGACAGGTTGGAGAGGAAGAAGTACATGGGGGTGTACAGGTGGGAGTCTGAGATTGTGGCCAGGATGATGAGCAGGTTCCCAAGCACAGTGATCAGGTACATGGACAGGAACACCCCAAAGAGGATGGGCTGCAATTCTGGGTCCTCTGAGAATCCCAGAAGATGAAATTCTGAAGTTTGTGTCTTATTTACTGGATCCATGTGGTTGACGTGACTGCAAAAGAGAAAA